AAGAAAGGAGCTAAAAATGAAAGCAGAGTATAAGCTTGTAGAGAGAAAACTGACAGAATAATAAAATGTATTGACTAAGGAATTTAGTGTACATAGATTCATTTCTTTTCATCAAAGATTCATTATCAGCTGGTTGTAGATTCTTCCCGGACCCTGGGAGGGGACTATTGAGTGGCTGGACCCCAATAGTCCCCAATATGGTATTAATTATGTGCTAACTTTATTTAACTCAAAAATCAACAATCATGCCAAGCAGTCTACTATTTCCAAGAACTTTAAAAATGTTTAAACAGTATTGCTTGTCTCAGCTTTGCAAATATCCAGAGGGAGACACATATATGTGATTTTGGAGGCAATGTGCAAATTACTGGGAAAAATAAGGGAAGTATTGAGAGTAGCGCGAGGAAGGTGTGTGTCTGGAAGTAAGGGGAGAAGAGCAGGACACTCCACCACAGCAAGGAACCAACTCCACCTGGGGGAAGCTGGGGCTTCATAAAAGATATGACAACAAAGCAGCCTCACACTAAGACAAAAGGGAACTTGGCAGAGGAGAATCAACCGAAGAGATGGATAGCAACAGAAAGTTAACAGAGCTTTAATGAATACATCAATTATGACACAAGTACTGCTAGATACATTACATAAGGATAGATATCAACTCTAGTCATAATAACCCAGTGAAAGACATTTTTTATCCTCATTTTATGGATGAAGAAACTGGCAGCTCACAGAGTTAATCTAACATTTGGTTTCAAATGTGTGACTCTTCCTGAATCTAAAATTCTAAAACCTTATGGATTTTGAGAAGGCCTGGTCCAGCTGTGAGAGTTAATCTCAACTTTCAATTTGAGGTTTAGATTCACTTGGAAGAAGAGCCTCTGGGCATGCCTAAGGGGGATTATGTCGATTGGATTAGTAGGGGTGGGACAACAGACTTGCTCACTGTGGGTGGCATACTTTCCTGCCACAGGATCCTGGACTGCCTGAAAAGGAGAAAGTGAACTGAGTACAATGACTTCCTAACTGTGACTGCCATGTAGATTCTTCAAGTTGCTTTGATTTCTGTGCCAGGATAGATTGTACCCTTGAATTGTCAGCTAGAAACCCTCTCCTGTGAGCTGCTTTAATCGGGGTAATTTATCACAGCAACATGAAAAGAAACAGAGCCGACCACAAGAAGATTAAAATGAAACAAAGAAGCCTGAGTGTCACATCAGGTCATTCAGATGATGGAACCTACTTACTCTATCCAGGGGGCACTTCATGCAGGAAGCTGCAAGGTCCAGGCATATGACAGCACTGCTGGTTTCTGAGCTGTGAGCAGACAGACCGGTACACCTCACCTTAGACAGCCGTAGGTACTCCTCTGCTTTCCTGGTTATAAAGGCAGTATGTTCACTAAAATTGTTCCAGACCTTTGTCCAACACTTAGGCAAAGAACTGAAGGCAGCTCGATGGGACTCATACCCCACCTAACTTTTATGCAAGTTCATATGGGGCCTAGAATTCACATCCTTTGGCGAGGTAAAGTTCTTTAGGTGGGACCAAAATGACTCTAGACTTAGCTGTGTCCAAGCGCTTTTAAAGAAAAGTGAATTCAAGTCTCCCCAGACAATCCTTCTCCTAACATTTCTTGAAGTGTAAAGAGCTGAAGGCAGGCAGGTTTGAGCAAATCAAATCCTTTCTTTCTCTTCCTTAAATGAGTGGTTCTCAGTTTTGGAGGCTTGTGAAAACAGTTCTGAGTCCCATCCCATTTCTGGTCAGTAGCCCTGGGATGAAGCTTACGGACTTTTTATTTCTAACAAGATGACACTGTTGCTGTGGCGGATTCAGGACCACATTTAACGAACCGCTATTTTATTAATCACGAGTCCTATCTTCAGATCTAATTAGAGCGCCTTTCTTTCCCTCCCCTCACCTCACGGGGTGCCGTACGCTTGCCTGCAATAGCGTCACTCCATCGACAGATCATACAATTATCCCCCCAATCTCAACGGCTTCTGAAAACCGAGGCTATCTGGGCCACTCTTGCCACATTTCCCCAAGCGTGGCACTAACAAACCAGCCTCAAAGCCACTGGGGCCTTGCTGACTCGTCATTCCAGCTCTCCACTCTGTACAATATCCTCCCTTACTCTTGCCATTTACAGTCATTTCCACGGGGTCCGTCCTGCCTGTCCCGCTCACCGCTCTAAACAGGTTCCGGAGCCTGAGAAATGACCAGCGGGTCACCCTGACCGGCTCCTTTCCCGACCGCAGTGCATCCCGCAGAGCTGGACGACTGCAAACGCCCTCTGAAGTCATCTCCCACAAGCCAACAGCCCGAAGGCTTTTCTCCACGAAGGGCCGCCCGAGTCTCGCCCAGACCAGCGTGCGGTCATTCCCGCACCGCCAGTGCCTCCGGCGTCGCCTTGGGAGGACCCAGGGCCGCGAGTCAGGGACGCATCCCAGCACGCACGGCCGCACTCACCTCAGGACACCCGGCTCCGCCAGGCCGAGGCGCGGGGCGAGGCGCCGCACCAGCTCCGACTCCATGGCCCGAAGAAATGCGCGCGGAAACTCAGACTGTCAGGGCGCTAAGACCCACCCCCGGCGCGTCCAGATTGGGCACAAGAAAAATGAGACCGTCCCACAACCAATCCTGGCCTCCCTTCTGCGCAAGTGCACACGAGCGTGCGCTGGTCCGGGAGACGTGAACGAGCCCCGAGCTCTAGCGCAGCCCTTCTACTGCCGCGAACCCCACAACTACGGCTTCCCTTCCTGCTGTCCGTAGCCCGCCGCGGCGCAGTTCTAGTCTCGCCCCGCCCCGTCCACTGCACACCGCCCTCGGCCTCTCTTCCCAAACCACGCGAGACTTGAAGTGGACCAATCGAAAAGCCGCCACCAGCGGAGGGCGGGGCTAGAGAGGGCGGGGCTCGGGAGGCCGCGTCACCTGACGGCGGGCGGCTCCGGCAGAGTAGGCTCGGCGGCTTGCGGGTCCCCGGAGTCACCATGGTGAGTGAGAGGCGGCCGTGGGCCAGTGGGTTGCCCCTGTCGCAGGCCTCGCTTCTCCCAGCGGACGGGAGCCCCGCGGGCAGAGTGGGGCCCCTACGTTCCGATCGAGGCCCGTCCTAGCGGGGCTGGGCCTGCGGGCTGGGGCGCGCGGGCTGGGGAAGGCCGCGAGCAGGCTGCGGTGGGTTGCGGTGGGCGGTGGCGCTGGATTTGCTGGATTTGGTCTTTGCCCCGAGACCCGGCGGCCGCTCTAAGGAGTGTCTTGGGCTGCAGGTTGTGGGTGTCGGTGGAGGCCTGCAGCAGCCTCTTGTATGGAATGGCCGCCTTCCCTCTGAGAGCCGGAGTCCCAGGTCTGCGGCCCCAAAGGTGGAGTTGAGGATGTGCGGAGCGGCTGAGCTTTGGGCTGGCGCTGCTGTAGCTGGGACGCGCCCAGATGGTGCATTTCCACCTTTGTGCTCGGCTGTGCTCGCGGGCCCCACGGCTTTTCTCTGCTAGACGTGTCTTTCAGTGGGGCCGCAGTGGCCCCCCGGCCTTCCGTGGCCGCATAGCCCCTGATCTTGTAGTGTCTGTCAGCGAATCCTAGGGACCTGTTCGCGTGAGTTTCCCGAAGGACTCATGCTTTCTTTCACTGAACCCAACCACCAGAAAGGAGACCACTTTTCCTTTCTCATTTGTTCACTGAGGACTCTAGCTCACTTGCTGGGAGCAATCATTCTTCTTTGGGTTTCTCTGTGATGGTAGCACGTCGTGGTGTGCCACTAGCCTTATGAACATGACTTCCTCAAAATTCGAATCCTGTCTGTTTTCCACAGGGCAGGTTGTCGCTTGCATCCTACTAGCGTTTGGTGTAATCTGCTCTGAACAGATAATGTTTTTGGATGTTGGTATGCTTACGTCCCTTTTAATTATTTCAGTATCCATTCTTTGTATTCAGAATTCTGTATTTCACCATTTCACTTCAAGTGTGTTAATAGGAAAAACCAGTATTAAATCTTTTTGTTGTTGATTTTTTGGAGTGGGGGTTGGAGATGATCTTGCTAGTCTCGTACCAGCTTACTATTCATGGTCAGCGTCCTCTGTTCCAGCTTGCTGAGTTCTGAACTTTTACTCCCATAATTTGCTAAATCTTTGATGTGTACTATTTAATATGATACTTTGCCTTACAAGGTGATTTTTTTTCCCTCAGAAGTTTTACAGTCCGGATTTTGTACATAACCAGTGTGACGTTTTAGAATTTGTTTTTCAACACTTACTAGTTGGCATCGTGTTTAATTACACAAAGCATTTGAGGATACCCTACAGAGTCCATTTATGTGCTGGGCGAACCAGGTTGGAGCACAATTTTTTCTGCAAATTTTCCTGGACAACGAAACCTAGGTATCAGTTCTGTCGTAGGCAGTTTTTAGGAGTTGAGCCAGGTAGTCTCCCAGTCTCACTTTGGCATCTAGAAACAAGTGTTGATCTCATTGGCACTTTACTCCTAGAAACCCAGAGTTCAGTTCAACTAACCACACACCTGGTGGAGGAGACATGCTTTTGAAACATACTGTAGTATAGTACTTTGGGGTTATGATGGGAAAGACTTGTGTCAGGAGATTGAGGACAACCTTGGGAGGTAATGTGAACAGATTCTGAGGAGAATGGGCAGGAATTCTCAACAAGGAGAAAAGAGAATATTGCTATTTAATGTTCATGGTGTGCTCCATCATAAGACTTTTGGGGTATTGCTACATTAGTGTATGTATGGAATTCAAAGTGGAAGGGTTTTTGTTGTTTGATTTTTTTTTTTCTTTTTGCACTTCTGAGGATTGGACCTAAGGTCTTCAGCCTGCTAGACACAAACTCCAACATGAACTCCCTAGCCCAAATTGTTTTAAAGTTTCTGTCCACTCACCATCCTTAATTCTCTCTAAAGTGTTAATTTGTCCTTATCACCAGTTTTAAATACCATTTTCATCAACATGATCAAATTCAATGTCTTAGCCAGGCGGCGGTTGCACATGCCTTTAATCCTAACACTTGGGAGGCAGAGCCAGGTGGAGCTCTGTGAGTCTACAGAGCGAGATCCAGGACAGGCACCAAAACTACACAGAGAAACCCTGTCTTGAAAAACCAAAAAGAAAAAAAAAATCAATATTTTTAAGGGATTAGTTTTCATTTTCCTATTGCTTTATGTTGTATTGTCATATTACATCTGCACTTATAAGTGGGAAAATTGACCAACAAATAGGTTCCTGTAACCAGTAGAGGTAATTGCTTTCATCTAAAGAATATACTAATGCTTATGAAGTTTTTATTACTAAGTTACACATTCAGAACTTTATGTGTGCTATTTTATTTTTCTAGTCCTTACCAAAAATGTGTGACCTCATATAGCCCATTTTATAGCTATATAATAAAGTGTATTTACACACAGTAACCAAAGCTGAATAACAGTCTATATCTCTATAGGTGAGTGAATCAATACATGTATATTTGTAAATATATATATATATATATATATATATATATATTCACATACATGCATATACATATACACACACATACAGTCTTTAAAAAGAGGAAAATTCTGACAAATGCTTTCATACAGATGAACTTTGGACATAACTCTAAATGAAATAAGCCAGACACAATAGGAAAATACTGTAATTCCATGTATATAAGGTACCTATAGTAGTAAAATTGCTTATCTGAGGGACATTGGAATATGTGGGAGTGTTGCTAACTTCAGTGGGCTTAGTTTCCATTTGGAAAGATGAAAATGTTTTGGAGATGGAAGGTGGTGATTACTGTACAGTGCACTGTGTGTAGTAAATCTTATTGTTATAAAATTGTGCTAGGAATGGAGAGATGCTCAGCAGTTACAAGCATTTACTCTTGCTGGAGACCCAAGTTCAGTACCCTTGTTGGGTAGCTCACAGCTGCCCCAAACTCCAGCTCTCTGTGATCCTACACACTGTTCTGGTTTTTGTGGGCACTCACTTGCACATGCCCCAATACAGAGATATACATACATATATAGATACATACAATTAAAAATGACAAATTTTAAAAGTCCTATATCATTACTTTTAAGTTGACCTTGAGCTTTTGCATTTAGATGCAAAGAACACATATGTATATATACATATACACATGTATATATACATATTTACATACATATATACATATATGGAGACTGATTTACTTGGAGGACTAGCGAATGTGTAGTAAATTTCATTGAGTTTGAGTCTAGGGATGTGTGGCTCAATTGGAGTTCTGCCTAGTGTATGTGAAGCCCTCAGGTTGTAGCCACAGCATCATATAAACCAGGACAGAGTAGCATGTCCTTGTAATCCCAGCACTAGGGACATAGAGATGGGAAGATCAGAAGTTCAGGGCCATCCTCAGCTACAAAGTGAGTTCAAGGCTAGCCTGGGCTACATCAGACTCTGACACAAGAAAAACATTTTTTATTCATTTGGAATCTTTTTTAGCCTTGTTTTGTTTTTTGGTCTTTCTTTTCTTTTTCTTTTTAACAGGGTTTTACTCTGTAGCTGGGGCTGGCCTTGAACTTGTAATCTTCAACCTCCTGGATGCTGAGGTTATAGGCATGAGTTATCGTGCCTAGTTTAAGTCTAAATCCTTAAATGCTACTTGCCTTTCTACTTCTGGAAAAAGCATTTTATGCTAATATTTCTCCTATATAAATTAATGTTTCTTTAAATTTAAGACATTTGTTTTCTTTGAAATTCATTTATAATTAAAATAAGTATTTTGATTAGAAAATTAATGATGTGTATGTGTGTTATTATGTGCATGTGAATGTAAGTGCCTGTGGAGGCCAGAGTTGTTGGGTTCCCTGGAGCCGGTTATAATTGTTTGTGAGCCATTTAGTATGTGGGGACTAAGAATTGAACTCAGGTCTTCTGCAGGAGCACTGAGCACTCTTAACTACTGGGCTATTCCTTCAGCCCCTTATTTATGATTTTGGAAAAGAAACAGTTGTGGGAAAACTCATTTTACTAGTTTATTAGCAAAAACAGTACAAAGAGGTGGATGACATTGCTCATTATTCAGTTTTTTTTCCTTCATTCAAAATCAAGATAAAATTTTTAATCCAAAATTAAACCAAGACAAAGCTTTTAGGTTTTATAAACCAATGTATTTCAGAAGTGGATTTTTTTTTTCTGTTTAATCTGAAGTTTTTTGATTATCTTAGATTTGAAACATGAAATTTTACTTTCATGTTTATGTGTAAATCCTTCTACCTTTTCTAATTCATTATGTAGAGAGGTGCTTTTCCTCTAGTCAGTCTTAAAATTTTTAAATGAAATTTATATAAAGTAAACAAGCCATTGGCTTTTGATACATTCCCTTTTGTTCCAAAATATTTTCATTACCTCAAAAGAAAGTTTTGTACTCATTAATTGGTGATTTGCCTGCCTTTCCTCCTTTAAATTAGTAGATCTGTTTAAGGTATTTCATATGAATGGAGTCTTACAGCATGCATTTATATCAGACTTCTTTCATTGGTGTAATGTTTTCTAGGTTTATTAAAAAATATGCATGTTTCAATGCTAGAGACCTTTCTATGGCTTAACAATAGCCTATTGTGCGTATTTACTGCTTATCCATTAATCTGGTTAGTTATATTTTAAATCAGATATATCATCAGAAAGGTCTAGAATCAGCTAATCTGTAGTGAACATTTATGAAACACACATTTTGTATACTGGATCTCAAACATATGATTATATATAATTACATGTTAAGGC